TTTAACCTCTCTTGCCAGCCTGAGCTCATTCTGAGCTTTAGCCAGTGGCAAAGCTCTCTGCTCCGGCACCGGGAGTGGCGTACATCTGGGGGCGTGTCCCAGGGGGCGTGGCGTGCATTGGGGGGGTGCGTAGTGAGTGGTGCACATCCCAGGGCAGGGGCAGCGAGCAGCGAGCATCGGGGGGGGCATGGCACCCCCCTGAGATGGCACCTGGGGTGGACCGCTCCTCCTGTCCCCACCTACGTCCATCAGTGGCTTTAACCAGCCTGACTTTCCCCCTGCAGCTGTTGGCTACTTGTGTCTTCTCCTCCTTAGTGATTTCCCCGTTCTTCCATTTCTTATACACACCCTTCTTAACTCTCAGCTCATCTGCAAGCTCCTTACGCTGCCACACCAGTTTCCTTAGATGCCCCCCACTTTTCTTGTTGGTATTGTCTGTGTTTGGGCCCTCAATATTTCTCCTTTTAGAATCTCCCATCCTTCTTGGACTCCCTTCTCTGAGTATTTCTGACCCTGGGATCTCACCCAGTAGCTCCTTCAGCTTTTTGAAACTGGCCTTCTTACAAGTCCAGAGTGTGTGTCTGACTACGCTCAGCTTTCCCTTGCCTCTGTATCCTGAAACTCAGGAAGACATGATCACTTCCTCCCCAGTTTTCTGGTACTTCCACTTCATTAATCAGTTCCTCCCTGTTGGTGAGGACCAGGTCCAAGATAGAAGATCCCCTTGTTGCTTCTTCCACCTTCTGAGAAATGAAATTGTCAGTGAGGCAACGGAGGACTTTGTTGGACCTTGCATTACTGGCAGAGTTTGAGTCAGGGAAGTCAAAGTCCCCCATGATTACCATATCTCTCCTTTTTGAATATTTGGTAATCTGCTCATCCAAGTCTTTAAAATTAAAACAAAATAATTGTCCCTGTCTTGGGGCAACTCTGCGGGTCCAGTTGATGGTCCAGTCCCTTGGCTCTTCAGTGCTTCCCACTCGTTTATAATGTTTATGGATCATTCTTATTTCAGGATCTCTATCTAAGATAAGCGGGGGGGGGGGGAGAATCACAAACCATTTGGTCAATAAAAAGAAAATCCACCAGTTATTTCTCCTTGGAGGCAACATTTGCAGTGGAAAACGGTAAGTTGATGCCAAATGATGAATCACAGCTGATGGTTTCTTTTGCCAGTTGGATTGACTGACTCGGCCTGCTCTCTGTCAATCTGTTTCCCAATCCTTATTTCATTCCTGACTTAGGGCTTAGCCACACTTCCTCTTTTCCCGCTGCTTCCCCCACAGGAAAACTGCTCCTTGGCAGTCAGTTGGAGCAAACAGCAATTCAGGTTTTCTCCAGGTTGACGTTTGCTCCGATTTGGCACTAAAGAGCAGGTTTTCCCTGGGAAAGGAGCAGGGCAAGGGGGGAACTGCTCAGACCCGTGGCTTGAAACTGCAGAACCAGAGGGACAAGCCCTAAGTCATGGGAGCAGATGTCCATATGGTCTTACTATAGTCTGGGGGTGTGGAACCATATCAGGATCCTTATCTCCCCTGCCCCTCCAGGCCAAGCCAACCACCCATCATTCACAATGATCTCAAGTGAGCATTTTAGCCTTTTCAGAGCACAGTTCATCATTAAATAATAGAACTTGCCTCCTCTGGAAGCAGTGATGGCCATCAACTTAGATGGCTTTGATCATGGGGGTCTTTGCAGACCACAAGCTGAACGTGAGTCAACAGTGTGAGGCAGCAGCCTGAAAAGGGAATGCTATTCTAGGCAGCATCAACAGAAGACTAGTGGCCAGACCAAGAGAAGTCATAGTCCTGCTCTCTTCTGCCTTGGTCAGACCACATCTGGAGTCCTGTGTCCAGTTCTGAGCACCACAATTTAAGAAGGATGTTGACAAGCTGGAAGGTGGGCAGAGGAGGGCGACCATGATGATCAAGGGTCTGGAATCCAGGCCGTATGAGGAATGGTTGAAGGAGCTAGGTATATTTAGCCTGGATAAGATGAGACTAAGAGGTGACATGAGAGCTGTCTTCAAATATCTGAAGGCCTGTCACATGGAAGGTGGAGCAAGCTTCTTTTCTGCCACTCCAGAGGACAGGACCCGAAGCAATGAATTCAAGCAGCATAAAAGAGATTCTGACTAACGTTAGGATGAACGTTCTGGTGATAAGAATCATTCAACAGTTGAATGAACTCCCTCGGAAGGTGGTGGACTTTCCTTGCATAGAGGTCTTTAAGCAGAGGTTGTGTTATGTGTTAGAGCTTGGATCCTAGAACAATAGGCAAGTAGGATCCTAGAATGCAACAACTGATTGGCCTGCAGGAAAAGACCAATCAGGCTCCAGGAGGAAGTTAATCAGCCTAATAGGCTGGTAGGATGGTAGAATGCAACAACTGATTGGCACAATGAGTCCCGTCCAATCAGGCTCTAGGAGGGAAGCAGAATCAGCCAATCAGACGGGACTCATTGTGTAAATAATGTAGATAAAAGCCTGAGGTTTGGAGGGCAGGAATTAAATCACTGTTTTACAAGCTGCAATAAAGAGCATGAAATCACTACAGGACTCTGAGTATATTTCAGGTTGGATGGCCATCTGTCAGGGATGCTTTAGTTGTGATACCTGCATTGCAGGGGTTGGACCAGATGACGATTCGGGTGCCTTCTAACCCTACTGGTCTATGATTCATTGGAGGTTTTTAAGCAGAGGTTGGGTGGCCATCTGTTTGGGGTTCCTGAGCTGTGATTCCTGCATTGCAGGCAGACTAGATGAGCCTTGGGGGTCCCTTCCAGGAACAATTCTACTGTTCTAGAAGCACCTGACTGGGGCCTGCAGGACTGGGGTTGGCTTAGGAGTTCTTTGCGAAATGCGCGACCCTTTGAGCTCTCTTTCTTCCAAGCATATTAGCCAGGCTCAGAAATAGCATCTTTGAGAATCTTGGCAAGCACACGCTCATCCGAAAAGATAGAAGAGGCACCCGTAATCACCACTGGCCTCCCTTGCCAAGAGCCTCCTTCAAGCTCTGTTGCACAGTCATTTTCTAACGGCAGGATAACGACCTGCTAATTATCAAATTGCAGCCGAGAGGGGGCAACAGGAAGCGTCTTGCTTGTTTGTGTCTAATACCGGACTGACACAGAGATCCATCACGCGAGAGCTCTTCCACGGCCATATTACGGAGATGTAATTGCTAGAATGACGCACAGTATGTCCTGGAGCTCCCCAGAACGATTAAGGGTCCTCTGGCTGATTTCACAACGTGGAAGTAAAGAAACTTCTCCCCCCCCCCGCCCCCTGCAAATGGTTCCCAGGAAGGAGGAAGTCTCTGCCGAGAGAGTTGCGGGCAAAAGCGACCATTTTCCCTTCTTGTTTCTGCACAAGGCCAATGGGGCATGCAAGCCAACGGAGGGGAGACTTTGAACACACACGCAGCTGCTCTTGCATTTCCCTGGGATGGAGAGAGGAAGGGGTCACTCACCTGCCTGCTCTGGACATGGTCATCTGCCCTCCGTGTAATGGCAGAAGCTGATTCTGAGCTCTTCTCTTGGCGTGAGTGACAATCATAGAATCATAGAATCATAGAGTTGGAAGAGACCACAAGGGCCATCGAGTCCAACCCCCTGCCAAGCAGGAAACACCATCAGAGCACTCCTGACATATGGTTGTCAAGCCTCTGCTTAAAGACCTCCAAAGAAGGAGACTCCACCACACTCATTGGCAGCAAATTCCACTGTCAAACAGCTCTTACTGTCAGGAAGTTCTTCCTAATGTTTAGGTGGAATCTTCTTTCTTGTAGTTTGGATCCATTGCTCCGTGTCCGCTTCTCTGGAGCAGCAGAAAACAACCTTTCTCCCTCCTCTATGTGACATCCTTTTCTATATTTGAACATGGCTATCATATCACCCCTTAACCTCCTCTTCTCCAGGCTAAACATGCCGAGCTCCCTTAGCCGTTCCTCATGAGGCATCGTTTCCAGGCCTTTGACCATTTTGGTTGCCCTCCTCTGGACACGTTCCAGTTTGTCAGTGTCCTTCTTGAACTGTGGTGCCCAGAACTGGACACAGTACTCCAGGTGAGGTCTGACCAAAGCAGAATACAGTGGCACTATTACTTCCCTTGATCTAGATGCTATACTCCTATTGATGCTCCCTTGTTGTAAACAAAATCTGCCCTACTTCCCTTATGGGGTATCCAAGAGTCCTTAAGTGGGTTCCCTATCAGTCGGAGAAAACAACAGAGGCCAACCAGAGAGTATTGAGAAGCAAAGCAGCTAGTAAGCCTGATCTTTATTGATCTGTTACAAAAGGGTGCTCCCCTCACACTCAGGAGGACCCAGAACCAAGGTGTGCCTGCCTTTATATAAAAAGGTAAAGGGACCCCTGACCATTAGGTCCAGTCGTGACTGACTCTGGGGCTGTGGTGCTCATCTCGCTTTACTGGCCGAGGGAGCCGGCGTACAGCTTCTGGGTCATGTGGCCAGCTTGACTAAGCGCTTCGGGCAAACCAGAGCAGTGCATGGAAATGCCGTTCACCTTTCTGCCAGAGCAGTACCTATTTATCTACTTGCACTTTGACATGCTTTCGAACTGCTAGGTTGGCAGGAGCAGGGACCAAGCAACGGGAGCTCACCTTGTCACAGGGATTCGAACCGCCAACCTTCTGATCGGCAAGTCCTAGGCTCTGTGGTTTAACCCACAGCGCCACCCACATCCCTTATATAGCCATTTAAAATTCCCTGCTCTGGAAATTCCCTGCCATGGAGCTCAACACCACCCCTCCATACATCATACATACATCACAGAAGGGGTGTAACCCAAGACCACCCCCCACAAACATCATACCTACATCACAGAAAAGGCGGTCTGCAACAGAAATTTGAATGTTGTCATTTTTCCTGTCTGCCCGGTTATCTGATAATGCCTTATCTGATTGCCTTTCCTGGTAGTCTGGCCATTCCTTTGAGATGGTGATTTCCCAATTCCTGCCCTCCCTCCTTGCAGAGAAAACATTTGGTCAGTTTGGGAGTCAAAATGGTTTCACGACGGTCTTCCTGTGCTGCTCCAGACATGTGGTCCACATATCTATATATGTGCTTGGTTGGTAAATTTATGAGATATATATATATATATATATATATATATATATATATAACCTTAATTTTTTATTATTACACCCTTCTTGGTGTTTAGTTCACTGAGGAAGCTTCTCACCTCTCTCTCTTTCTCTCTCTCTCTCCCCCCCCCCCCCCCAGCTAGCTCGCTTTCTCCAGTTCTAGGGACCCCACCTTGAGAAGATTATTGCCAAGCTGGAAGGTGTGCAGCAGAGGAAAGCAAACGAGACGATCGAGGGCTTGGAAAACAAGATTTGCTAAGAATGGTTGAAGGCGCTGGGTACGTGGAAAAGAGGAGACTGAGAGGAGATAGGAGAGCCAATATCTCAAGGGAAGATGGAGCAAGCTTGTTTTCTGTTGCTTCCGACTGCAGGAACCAAACCAACGGATTCAAATTATGGGAAAGGAGAGTCTGATACAACATCAGGAAGAACTTTCTGATGGGGAAAGCTGTTTGACAGTGGAATGGATTCCCTGGGAAGGTGGCAAATTCTCCTTCCTTGGAGGTTTCTAAGTAAGAGTTGGATGGCCATCTGTCATGGATGTTTCAGCTGAGATTCCTGCATTGCAGGGGGTCAGGCTGGATGACCCCCGGGGTCCCTTCCAACTCTACAATCCTATCATTCTATTGTTCCCAAGTTTTTTTAAAAATTGACTGCATTTCAATGCCCTCCCAATAAGCTACATTTTCTGGGCAGCTGCATTTAAAATGCAATGCAGAACAATGAAAGCAGCATAACATTGTTCTTTTTGGCAGATATAGAATGAAACATGAATCGTAAAATTGAGAAAATTGGCCATTCTCGTCCCTCCCCTCCCGGACCCATCTGCCAATTTTGTATTGTAGGATCCTGGCGAGAACCTCTCTGTTTTTGCCTGTGTAAAACTGCTCCTTATCAACTGATGGACCTTGGCATAAAATAATGAATTTGATGTCCGCTTTCTTCTCAATGTTTAGCTTCTCCCTTGCCAAACTCATTTACACACAGACACACACACACACACACAGAGAGAGAGAGGGGGGGGTGTGTTTATTTGGAAGCCTGCAAGCATAGATTGACCTTATTCCAGTGTCCGCGTGCAGGAGTTTGTCTAGGGAGGCTGAGGGTCATCTCTAAAGATAATGGCCTTCCTGTACTTTTAATGAAGGCACATTGTGGCTCAGGCTTCTGAGTTTCCGACGCTTAAAATCTTATCAGAGGTGCGGAAGGAGCTTCTGATGGGCCATTGTCCGCGAATAAAGAACAGGGCTCCCTGTAGATGTGGGACTTTGTAAGGAGCCAATCTCATCCCATTCAGCTCGGCTGTAATGAGAACCAGCGAAGATCTAGGAGTCAAAAGTCCCAGCAGGGCAGAGGATGCTGGAGAGAGAGGGGGGTCATTGATGGTCCGGGGGGGGGGGAGCAATGTCCCTATTTTCATCCGAGGAATGTTGGAGGGTACGCTATCAGACTTTGAAAAGCTGGCTATCCCTGGGTCAATTCAGTTTTGTTGAATTAATAAAACTAAATAGCTTTCATTGGATTTTGATTAAATGTGCGATCTATCGTTACGGTGTTGAGTGTTATTGTGTTCGTATAATCCATAGTGCATCATGCAAACTGTTATTCTGAATAATGGGTTTTATAAGGGAAGGGAGGCATTGGGGATGAGTTTAGCATGGAACCGGGGGGGGGGGTTTCCCTGAAATAATAATAATAATATTTATACCCCGCCCATCTGGCTGGGTTTCCCCAGCCACTCTTGGTGGCTTTCAGCAGAACATTAAAAACACAATAAAACATCAAAAATTAAAAAGCTTCCCTGTACAGGGCTGCCTTCAAATGTCTTCTAAAAGTCAGATAGTGGTTTATTTCCTTGACATCTGATGGGAGGGCATTCCACAGGGGGGTGCCACCATCAAGAAGGCCCTCTGCCTGGTTCCCTGTAACTTGGCTTCTTGCAGGGAGGGAACCACCAGAAGGTCCTCGGATCTGGACCTCAGTGTCCAGGCAAAATGATGCGGGTGGAGACGCTCCTTCAGGTATACTGGACCGAAGCCATTTAGGGCTTTCAAGGTCAGCACCAACACTTTGAATTGTGCTCAGAAACGTACTGGGAGCCAGTGTAGGTCGTTTGGGACCCATGGATTTAGGCCAGGAGTCAGCAAAAATTTTCAGCGGGGGCACATCCACTGTCCCTCAGACCTTGTGCAGGGTCGGACTATATTTAAAGGGAAAGGGACCCCTGACCATTAGGTCCAGTCGCGGACGACTCTGGGGTTGCAGCACTCATCTTGTTTTACTGGCCGAGGGAGCCGGCGTACAGCTTCCGGGTCATGTGGCCAGCATGACTAAGCCGCTTCTTGCGAAGCCAGAGCAGCGCACGGAAATGCCGTTTACCTTCTCGCCAGAGTGGTACCTATTTATCTACTTGCACTTTGACGTGCTTTCGAACTGCTAGGTTGGCAGGAGAGCTATATTGGGGGAGGGGGGAATGAACGAATTCCTATGCCCCACAAATAACCCAGAGATGCATTTTAAATAAAAGGACACATTCTACTCATGTAAAAACACGCTGATTCCCGGACCATCCGCGGGCCAGATTGAGAAGGCAATTGGGCCGGATCCGGCCCCCTAGGCCTTAGTTTGCCTACCCATGATTTAGGCTAGGCTATTGTGACAGTGACAGCTGAGGTGTTCAACACAGTGCTGAGCCCAGTTCATGTGGGATGGTGAAGAGGGCCAGTCTGCTTGCAGTGATGCTCCCAACCAGGAGGTCCTGGGCTCCTTGTCTGCCCTGGCATATTAAAGCCAGCCAGCGAGGTGTGGCTGACTGGGTTACAGGTGTCATAAACCCCCTTGGCAGGGTGAAGTTGGCAGCTGCATCCACCTATTTAATTAAATGCAGTTACATGGAGCTGGAGCAAAAGGGACCCTGAACGTCCTTGTCCATCAATGAGGACTGGGACCAGATCTCCACATCCTCTGCGTCATTTGGGGGCTGGAGGGGGCAGGAGGACTCTTCCACATTCCCAGCATGCCCAGAATCTTTCTAGGGGAAAGTGCAACCGGTTCTCCCGGCGGTGAGTCATGTCCTCAGGCATTTCATATCAGCATCTTCTCCAAAACAACCACCCAGATTCCACCACCCGCCTTGGAGCTTTCTTTGGCCTCTTATCCGGGATGGTGTTTTCCTCGCCCTTATCGTTGGCCAAGGAGCCAAGGCTTCACGTCAGTAGCTCTGCAAAAGCACCTTGAGCAAGACTGGGCTTCCTCTTCAGCCCATCTAAGCTGCTCCAGCCTTGGCAGCCAGAGCCCTCGTTTTGCCTTCCTTCCTTGACTCCCCTTCTTCACCCTCTTCCTCTTGCCCCCCTTGTCCCCGGCCAATGTCTTCCATGCCAGACACAGACAAGCCGGTGAGGCAATCTCCTTCCTTTCTCTGCCCAGCGCCTGGCACACGGCTGTCCCCCATCGCCACTCAACCAGCGGTGGTCTTGTGGTTGGAGCAGATCCTCCTCTTTTCCAGGGACAGACCAAGATTTGCAGAAGCCATCCCGGCGTCTTGTTTGTTCCTGAAATGTCCCGCTTTTCCTTAGGGCATGGGTAGGCAAACTAAGGCCTTCTCAATCCGGCCCGCGAACGGTCCAGGAATCAGCATGTTTTTACATGAGTAGACTGTGTCTATTTATTTAAAATGCATCTCTGGGTTCTTTGTGGGGAATAGGAATTCATTCATCCGCCCCCCCAAAAAAATAGTCCGGCCCCCCACAAGGTCTGAGGGACAGTGGACTGACCCCTGCTGAAAAGGTTTGCAGACCCCTGCCTTAAAGGTAAAGGGACCCTTGACCATTAGGTCCAGTCATGGCCGACTCTGGGGTTGCGGCGTTCATCTGACTTTACTGGCCGAGGGAGCCGGCGTACAGTTTCCAGGTCATGTGGCCAGCAGGACTAAGCCACTTCTGGCGAACCAGAGCAGCGCACAGAAACACTGTCTACCTTCCCGCCAGAGTGGCACCTATTTATCTACTTGCACTTTGACGTGCTTTCGAACTGCTAGGTTGGCAGGAGCAGGGACCGAGCAATGGGAGCTCACTCCGTCGCAGGGATTAGAACCACCGACCTTCTGATCGGCAAGTCCTAGGCTCTGTGGTTTAACCCACAGCGCCACCCGCATCCCAACCCCTGCCTTAGGGCATCCTTATTTTCATCGGAAAAATGTTGGAGGGTATGTAAGAGTGTCAGACTAGGACCTGGGAAAGACCAGGGTTCAAATCCTCACTTTGCCATGAAGGTGACAGCAGGGGAGACTGCTTGGGCCCCAGGTATTGGGTGCATGTGACGTTATGACGTTATGTCCTGCCCCGTCCCCCCACCTCTGAGACTATTTCCCAGATGCTGTCTGAGGTCTTGTAAGACCTTGGAAGTTGAATTGGGGGCCATGAGATGTGGGTGCTGAGCATTTTTTTTGTGGGTGCTCAGGCACCCAGAGCTTCCTTATACATAGTTGGTGCCCCTGGCTCATTGGGTAAACTTGGGTTGTTGTTGTTTAGTCGTTTAGCCGTGTCTGACTCTTTGTGACCCCGTGGACCAGAGCACCTCAGGCCCTCCTGTCCTCCACTGCCTCCCGCAGTTTGGTCAAACTCATGCTGGTCTCTTCGAGAACACTGTCCAACCATCTCGTCCTCTGCCGTCCCCTTCTCCTTGTGAACTCCATCTTTCCCAACATCAGGGGCTTTTCCAGGGAGGCTTCTCTTCTCATGTGGTGGCCAAAGTCTTGGAGCCTCAGCTTCAGGATCTGTCCCTCCAGTGAGCACTTGGGGCTGATTTCCTTAAGAATGGAGAGGTTGGATCTTCTTGCAGTCCATGGGACTCTCAAGAGTCTCCTCCAGCACCATAATTCAAAAGCATCCGTTCTTCGGTGATCAGCCTTCTTTATGGTCCAGCTCTCACTTCCATACATCACTACTGGGAAAACCATAGCTTTAGCTATACGGACTTTGTCGGCAAGGTGATGTCTCTGCTTTTTAAGATGCTGGGACAGTTTCCTTATCTCTCAACCAAACCTACCTCAAAGGGTTGTTTTGAGGATCGACTGAGGAAGGGGAAAACCATTTACACCACCTTGAGCTCCCGGGAACGATGGCAAGGTGGGGGTATAAATGCAATGAACAAGCAGACAGGACCATGGAACCCCAGTTTCGTGACAAAGCTCACTGACTGGCTTTGGGTTAGTCACAATCTCTCAGGCCTGGCCTACCTCACAGGGTTGCTGTGAGAATGAAATGGAGGCGTCTGAGAGTGCTGCATACACTGCCCTGAACTCCTTAGAGAAAGTGTGTGTGTGTGTGTGTGTGTGTGTGTGTGTGTGTGTAAAAGGTTCCAAATCAATCAAATGTCAAAATTTGCAGAAGCAGCCCTAGGCCAAGTGAAATCTGCGTTGCTGCTTCACAAGCCCCATCACTA